GCCGTGTGAACATCACTGTGTGACAGAGATTTGAGAGAACATGTAGAACTTTAGCACTCTCATCTCACCTCAGGTACAAGTTTATTTATCCGTATCACAGTATTGCAGTCCTCTGATGGAGTGTGGTTAATGCCCAGTGGTTATTAATATAATGTGCGTGATGTTCAGCATAGGAGCTCTTAATCCCACATCTTTCACATTACTGCACAAAACTCATATTGTTTTTACAATATTTTTTCAAGTTGTCAATTTTTTATTTGCTACTAATGCTTCTTTACTTTAAGTATGTGCTTTCTTTATATTTTCTCACACTATGTTTACTGTTATGAACCAATACATAAAGGCAAAATCCTTGCATGTGAAAACCTACTTGTTCCTGATATAAGGCTTACCTTGCATTTTAAAAAGCCATATGTGTAAATCTGTAGACTCCCACTGGAAAATTATCTCAAATTAAATGGATTTCTTTTTCTAACCGTTGGAAGATGTCATTGGTTTTATGAAGCTACATGGTGTGTAAAGGCTTTAGCTATCCATATTCTCTGATATGCAAATGTGCAAATGTCCTTACATGAGGAAGATGGGAGGGTCACCTACGCAGCTCCCAGTTCCCTCTGGCTTTCTTTTTTTCTGTTATCAGTAACATGTAATCTCAGCCCATTTCAAAGTCACTGTGTCATTACACTGTATTGGTTTTCCAGTTCTCTAAATTAGCATTTAAATTGAAAAGCGAAGCAGTTGGCTTTTGGGCTTGTTTTGGGTTTCCCGTTGTGGCACAGCACTCAGTGCGGCAGTTTGTTCTGTGAAATTAATTACTCCAGTCCCACAAGGCACGGTGACCAGTATTAAGAGGGCTCACCTCACTAGATTAATGAGCAGCATCCTGCTCAGAGAAGCTCCGCAGGTGCAGAGAAGTGGGCTTAGCCATGTACAGACAGTGAGGTGGCAGAGCAGCCACAGATACATAGTGTCACCTCAGGCTGCAGTCCTGGTTCACTTTAACGCCTCCTTTTTGCTCATGCTGTATCAACCAATCAAAAAATGAAACCAAATCCTCAATCACCTGATACAATTCAGTCAGTAATTGATTGAAACAGTATTATTATTCAGTATACATACTAAAATGAGACAAATATATGTAATAATTTTAAGAATACAGTGATTTTTTTTCAATGAAAGCAGTTCAAAAAGGGTTAGAGGAGGCAGATCACACAGTAATTGTTTTTCTTTTCTTCACAACCTATGAACATAGATGAACATAAGAAAAACAATACGTACATTTATTAATGGAGACAAAGAAAATGTAATGAATTACTGTTAGTGAAAGTATTATTATTCATAATAATAATAATCACCCTCATCTCATCATTGTTCACTACCAGTATTATATGTTACACCCACAGTTCATAGATGATCCACGTCTGAGGAATGATGCCAAGCTGAAACCCATCCAGCTGCCTCTGAGTCAGTCCAGCAAGAGTCAAACACTGACAGCCACCACATGTGAGAAAACCACTGCTACTGCCTCACCAATAACTGTCACGTTACATGCCACTTGGAGGAGCTCATTTCATTCACAACACCCTTGTCAAGATTGTAACCATTTAGGCTCTGCTTGTTCTTATAAACAAATCTGAGCTTGACACAGACTGTCCCTTGTCACGCTGGCAGGTCAAGAAAACCCTCCTCTGTTCAGACCCCCATCCTGTGAAGCTCATAGTAGAGCAGGCTACAGCAGGACAGACATACCCAAACAAAAGCAGCCATCCCTGGTTGAAGTGCTGCAGGATCTGAGCCTGTCTGGCAGAGAGGAGCTCTTCTTCATGCAGTTACCGGACTGTATGCCGTGCAGAACGTCTGGACAGAAGGTCGAGCCTTCTCTTGGATCTGCAGCAGAGAAAGCTGCCAAGAAGGAAGGCAAGCCTGAGGACAAGAGGCCTCCACATCTCCAACCACAAGTGAGTAAACAGAACAAAAACTAAGACTAGTGATGTTGCCATGTCTGGAGTTGCTTTTCAGTACAATGTGTGGTGTGCTCCATCTATTCCATACATATACATACAAACATACACTATGGATTGCAGTGTGTTTCAAGGTATCCAGAGTAGCAGCCAGTCCGAGCCTTTTTGTGTCCTTTATGTCACATGTACATGCCTTTATGTAAGTGTCTTGCAGCGAACTATTTGATATATATAGTAGAGTCATGTTGTCACACTCCCTGTGTTGTTATCGAAGCCTCAATTAACTCTGAATTAAGTGTATTTTTGTAACAAACCAGAGTTAGTGGTTGTTGCTGGTTTTGTCAATAGAGTCTGGTCAAGCTTAGTGCTCAATGTTTTGGTCTGATTTGCTGGTGCTTTAGTGTACATCTAAGTACATTACATCCAAGTTTGTGCATTCAATGGCTCTTGTTACCAACTCTCTGAAGAAGCCATTTCAACTGTTATTTGTGAATTCCTGAACTATGCATCAGTGGTACCGCTCCGTGCAGGAAAGGTGAGGCTTCTGCTGCCATCTCAATACACTGAAGGATGTAATTTAGTTTGTGGTACATGGCACTAAATTGCAATGTGCTGCTGGATTCCCAGCTGTACTCCCCTTACTGCACATCTCCTCTCACCAAAATACCCAGCTGGTACAGGAAAGGTCAAACCTGAAAGCAGCAAACCTCAGTGTACCAGACCAGAACCCTGTATACCCAGAGACGTTTCTACATGTTCCACTAGGAAAACAACATTTTTATATTAACGTTTTGGCCTTTCCACTTCACTTAAGTCATTAGCAGGTTGTGTACGTGTGCCTCTCCTCAGGAGACTGTGGTGATGGAGGGCTGTCCTGTGCTGTCCCAGTTCCCAGAAGGATTTCTAGGAAAACTGCAGATCAGGAAGTCAGGAAAGGTGGAGCTGAAGCTGGGTGACGTCGTCATGGACGTCTCTGAGGGAGCTGCATTCTCCTTCCTGCAGGTACTGAGAGTGTGTGTGTGTGTG